ACGAGACAAAGAAGTTCTGCATCTCACTTCGCCGAAATGCCAAGGACGAGCGAGTGCTTCTACATTACAATGGACACGGTGTGCCGTTACCAACTCAGTCGGGTGAAATCTGGGTCTTCAACAAGAATTATACCCAGTACATCCCTGTCCCACTGTACGATCTGCAGTCTTGGCTAGCTGGGCCTAGTCTTTTTGTCTTCGATGTTTCACATGCGGGCAACATTGTTCAAAATTTCCACACTTTTGTGGAGAAGCATGAGAAAGAGAATATCGAGACTAAGAAACGAGACCCGAATGCCGTCATTCAGAATTATGGTGACTGCATCCTCCTAGCTGCGTGCCAGAAGACGGAGTCCCTTCCGACCAATCCCGACCTTCCTGCAGACCTATTCACCTGTTGCTTGACAACACCGATTGAGATCGCATTGCGCTTTTTCATCTTGCAGAACCCTCTACGCACAAACATTTCCATTGACGACTTCCGAGTTCCCGGTCGACTTCAAGATCGTCGAAGCCCTCTTGGAGAACTGAATTGGATCTTCACTGCAATTACCGATACAATCGCATGGAACACCTTACCCCGGGCTTTGTTCAAGAAGCTCTTCCGGCAGGATCTAATGGTCGCCGCTCTTTTCCGCAACTTTTTGCTCAGTGAACGTATCATGCGCACATACAAATGCCATCCGATCTCTTCACCCGAATTGCCAGACACACACCATCACCCTCTATGGAAAAGCTGGGACCTTGCAGTCGAGATGGTGTTGTCTCAGCTACCTGCTCTCATTGATCAGGAAGAAGGGCGCCGACAGTACGAGTACCAGCACTCAACATTCTTCGCTGAGCAACTCACTGCTTTTGAGGTATACCTCTCGTCCGGTCCGACGGAGAAAAATCCACCAGATCAGCTTCCTATTGTCCTCCAAGTCCTCCTGAGTCAAGCACACCGCTTGCGGGCCTTGATTCTTTTGAGCAAGTTCCTAGACCTCGGCCCATGGGCTGTCCACCTTGCACTCAGCATTGGCATCTTCCCCTATGTCGTCAAGTTGCTGCAATCAGCAGCTCAAGAATTGAAACCAGTTATGGTTTTCATTTGGGCGAGAATCATGGCAGTCGACCACACTGTACAAAACGATCTACTCAAAGACAACGGCATCCACTACTTTATCTCAATTCTGAACCCTTCTTCTCCCATTCCTGTGGGAAATGCCAGCGAACACCGGGCCATGTGTGCTTTCATAGTCTCGATCTTCTGCAAGAACTACCCCCAGGGACAGAATGTCTGCCTCTCTGGCGAATTGTTTGATTCGTGCCTCAGACATCTTGGCGATGTGGAAAATCCCCTGCTACGGCAGTGGTCTTGTCTGTGTCTCAGTATGCTCTGGTGCGACTTCCCTGAAGCAAAGTGGATGGGCATTCGATGTGCAGCCCCCGCTAGGCTCTGCGAGTTAAATTTCGACCCCGTACCCGAAGTTCGCGCTGCTATGCTTCAAGCTGTGACTACCTTCTTGGGGATTCCAGATCTGACAGACCAGGTTGCACAAATTGAGGAGACTTTAGCACTGGCAGTCTTGCCCATGTCTGCCGATGGAAGTGTAGTTGTGAGGAAGGAGCTTTTAGTATTCTTCTCAACATTCGTCAGACGCCACCAAAACAAATTTTTGGTCGCGGCATTTGAGGAGCTTGAGGAAGAAAAGCGGTCCCTGTCTCATCGCTGGCAGAGTGAAACCTCTCGGACTAGCCGCTCCGAAGAACAGGTCGTAGCACTATCTTCTCATGCAAAACAGCCCCAGCTGTCTCGCAATACAACTTTCGGGACTATCTGGAAGCAGCTACTGGCTCTCTCGGTTGACCCTCATCCTGACATCGCCCAGGATGCCGCCGTTATCGTTGATTACATCCACCTTGCCTTGTTGGAATCTCCAATGGCGCCACTCACTAACAAGCTTCAGAATGAGATTCTGGAAATCACAGGCTTGACAAAACTCCAACATCGCGAGCGAACTGAGGCAAAGAAAGCTGCGCCACCTTCAGCGCCTCCCGTGTCTGGAGCAGCAGCCTCGAAACAAGAAGGCTATCTTTCTTTAGGTTTTAGGCGAACTGCCAGCGTCGCTGCTTCCCTGAAGAACCTTGCCTTTGGCAATTCAACAGACCCATCCTCGGACAGCTCGAACCCTCCTTCGCCTTCAACCGGCCGTATGACAATTACCCCACGCGGCCGAGCCCCTCCTGAGTGGACCCGACCCCCGGAAGTAAATGACCTTGTTGCTCCCGCAACAGGATACAACCAGGCTCCGGTTCCCACATCTAGAGGTTTCGAACCCAAAGGCTTTGATGTTGTGCCAGTTATTCCCCTAAAGAGTAGATTCCTAGACTGGTCCACTGAGGTAATCCCGGATTTCGAATCCATCAAGTCCCACAACTATTATTACCTACATTTACTCACTATTTACAAGTATTTCCGGGAGCCCCAGATGAAACCCAACGAGCCGGATGAGCCTGGTAGCTCCGACTACAACCAGCGACTCTGGAGACGCGGCCGCAACGAAAAGATCATCGCCGAGACCCAACCCCTCAAAGGAAAAGCTGGAGCGAGCCGGTGGGATAACTCGGTTGCTTTACTATCGAATGGTAGCCAGCCCCACAAGATGTGTTTCCATCAGTTCGAGGATCACATTGCTGTCGCAGATGACCGGGACACAATCTCGTAAGTACCAACAGGTCACCTGTTCTTTGTGTTCTTCTAACCATTGGTTTCGTACAGAATTTGGGACTGGCAGAGCCACAAACGCCTCAATCAATTCTCAAATGGCAACCCAGCGGGTTCAAAGATCAACGAAGTTCGATACATCAATGAGGATGACCAGGCACTGCTTATGACTGGATCTTCTGATGGTGTGATCAAACTTTTCCGCCATTATGAGAATAATAAGGATATTGAAGTTGTCACAGCATTCAGAGCCCTCCCTGAACTGATTCCAAGCAATCGCAACGCAGGCCTTGTGCTTGATTGGCAGCAAGGTCAGGGCAAAGCTCTGGTTGCAGGTGATGTCAAGGTTATCCGTGTCTGGAATGCTGCTACTGAGGTGTGCACAAACGTAAGTCTTCAACGTCTGGTCTCACAAATATATCGCGTTACTCACACAAAGTCCAATAACAGGATATTCCGGCACGATCGGGTTCCTGCATCACATCCTTGACATCTGATCAAGTAGCGGGCAACATATTCGTTGCCGGTTTCGGTGACGGTGCTGTGCGAGTCTTTGATCAACGATTGAAGCCAACCACATCCATGGTCAAGGTTTGGCGTGAACACAAGCAATGGATTACAAATGTCCATATGCAGCGTGGTGGTTTACGAGAATTGATTTCAGGTGGCCGGAATGGTGAGGTCCGACTTTGGGATCTTCGCATGGATAGCCCGATTTCCACCATATATGCTACCAAAGACACCCTGCGGACCTTGAGTGTTCATGAACACGCTCCTGTCTTCAGCGTGTACGTTTCCTCCACCGCAATATTTTGATATCTTCTTTGTTCAAGGCTAACCTGACGCAGGGGTACAAATCGCCATGAAGTCAAGACTTTCAATGTGGATGGCACCTATCTTTCTACGTTCGAGCCATACTCAAGCTTCCTTCATCACAACCGATCTTCGCCCATTGCCAGCACTGCCTTCCATCCCCACCGGACTGTGCTTGCTTGCGCCGCATTGAACGACCATCATGTAAACCTCGTGTCCTGCTAATTCCCAACTCAGCTCCGAAATTCATGATACCTTCGTGCGGTGACCTTCATTGCATTGTTTCTATTTCTTGTCCTAATATTACCCTTTCTGTAATATGCATCAGCATACCCGACGAACAAATCTACACGGCGTCTTGGCGAGTGACTTGATCAACCATACTTTGATGGCTCCGCGTTGTTGGTTTTTGTTTCCTTGGGCTTGCTTCACTACCCTTTGATATTTGAGACGATTGCTCTATCTATTCTTCTACTTCATGTGAGACTGTGTACCCAGTTTCGGGTCTATGAACTTCCTTTTACCCTTCTTGTCTTATCTCTCTTCTTCGGTATTAAGCACAACTTGTTGTAATGGTTGCTAGACTTGGTTGCCAGACGGAAGAACGTATAATGTTTCGAATGCTCGTGTTCTGCTCGCTTTAGTGAAGTGGGTACAGAGCACCAGAGGCTGTCTTGCTTTGACTGATAGCAAGGCTTGGTTTTCTTTTTCTTTTCCAGAAGATTGCATACATATTTTGGTGTATCTCGCGGGTCGTTATGGATAGATATACTTGATGTAATGCGGCAGTACCTTGGCCACGCACTGTAGTTTACCTAAGGTACTCCACCTAGGCAGCATTAGTATCATATGCTTGCTGTGGGGAATAGACTAGCCGTTTCTTCGTATGAGAAACTGAATGTTTTGAATAATCTAAAGATCTAGTAGGTTAGAAAACATATATGTGTATGAAAATACTACGATATCTTTTTTGACATAGTTTTTGATATATATTTTGCCCTTATAGTCATTGGTCTACAGCACAACACAAAGTGCATCATACCCGACGGTAGTGTGGCGGAGAGTGGATGTTTCATGCTTTCAAATAGGACTTCTCATTTGTTCTATATCTATATCATTTGATGTATAACTTGATGTATAACTTTGACATAGTTTACCAAATGAGGGTAAACGTGGTCACGTGGGTACTTTTGCTGTAGTTAGAATGCCTTACAATGTCAAAAAGAAATATGGTTAGAAGAAATGGCGAAAAAAAAATTGCTGGAAGATATTTTATTTATTTATCATAGAAAAGAGATATATTTAGATACGAAGGATGCATGAGCCAAATTCTTTTGGAAACATATCTTTTTCATTCGAAGACACTGAGGTAAAACAGAAGAGGATATTGATGTTGTTGGGATCATTCTCATAAAACACTAAAGAAAACTAAAGAAAAAGCTAGGAATACAGCAAAAATTTCGTATCAATCATGAATCGCCTAATAGTTGCGCTGGCTGCCGAGGGTGTCCTTCGCATCAACTCTGGGGTCAAGCTTGTTCAAGAGGTCAGAGCCGTGGGGACCAGTGGTATTGCCAGTCTTTGAGGTCTGATCGGCGTAGTTGCTGCCACTGGCTCCGGAGTTATCGCCGTAGCCTGTCTGTCCAGTGGAGCGGCCAGTGGTGCTGCTGCCGTAGTTGTCGGCAGTGTTGCTGGAGCCGTAGCCGGACTGTCCAGTGGAGCGGCCGGTGGTGCTGCTGCCGTAGTTGTCGGCAGTGTTGCTGGAGCCGTAACCAGTCTGTCCGGTGGAGTGACCGGTGGAGCTACCGTAGTTGTCGCTGCTGGACAGAGGGTTGCTGGACCCGTGGCCAGACTGTCCGGTGTGGCTGGTGGTGTTGCTAGACAGGGGGTTGTTGCCATAGCCGGTCTGTCCGGTAGAGCGGCCAGTGGTGCTGCTGCCGTAGGTATCGCTGCCAGTCAAGGGGTTGCTGGAGTGGCCAGTGGAGTGGCCGGTGGTACCGCTTGAGAGGGGGTTGCTAGACCCATAGCCAGACTGCCCGGTGGAGCGGCCAGTGGTGTTGCTGCCGTATGTGTCACTGCCAGACAAGGGGTTGCTGGAGCCGTGGGTAGTCGAGTGGCCAGTAGTGCCGCTTGACAGAGGGTTGCTGGAACCGTAGCCGGTCTGTCCAGAAGAGTGGCCGGTGGTGCCGCTTGACAGAGGGTTGCTGGAACCGTAGCCGGTCTGTCCAGAAGAGTGGCCGGTGGTGCCGCTAGACAAAGGGTTGTTGGACTCGTAGCCAGAGTGACCAGTGGAGTGGCCGGTAGTGCCACTGGACAAAGGGTTGCTGGAGCCGTAGCCAGTCTGTCCGGAAGAGTGACCGGTGCTGGAGCCATAGCCAGTCTCTCCGGTAGAGCGGCCAGTGGTGCTGCTGCCGTAGGTGTCTCGGCCGCCAGACAAGCCGCCAGCCTGCTTTCCTCGGTTGTCAAGGTCGCTATCGACGCGGGGGTCGATCTTGTTGGCTAGCTTCGAGTCGTGGGGGCCAGCATTGATGTTGCTGGAGCCAGTGTTGGAGCCATATCCGCCAGCAGTGTTAGAACCGTAGTTCCCGGATGATCCTGAGCCGACATCAATGGGACCCTTCTTGGAGTCATGGATGGTGCCAGAGCTGTTGGCACCGTGGCCAGTGCTACCAGTGCCGTAGTTTCCAGCTCCGGTGGAGGATGTGTTCTCGTAGCCGGAACCAGAGTTTAGGCCACTAGTGCCAGAACTGTGGCCGTGGCCAGTGGTAGAGCCGGTAGTAGTACCAGAGCCGTAGCCTCCAGCACCGGTAGTGGGTGTGTTCTCATAGCCGGCGCCAGTGCCTGAGCCATAAGCGTTGGAGCCTGAAGTGTTGGAGCCTGCGTTGGTGGAAGTGTATTTGCTGTTGTCTGTGGTGTTGTTGGAGGATCCGTAACTATCCCGGGTATCATCGATCTTGTTGGATGTCTTGGAGTCATGGGTAGTCTCCTTATCATGATGGCCGGTCACGGCATCCTTGACCTTGTGAATAATGCTGGACATGATGGGTGGTATGCTTTGGTAATAAAGTAAAGTAAAAGATTTGAAAGTATTTGATGAATATAATGTTCAAGTCAGATGTTTTTGTGTTGATGGAAGATGTGAATAAAGTGCTTCTATTAGGGAGTTTATATATGCTCTTTCCTTGTGATCAGATCAATTTTTGCGGAGACTGAGTGACGCCATAACGCGGGGATCCACGAGTACAATTACCGGTAAGACATGGATCAGAGTTCTTTGACTGTCCCATTTACGGTTTGTCATGACGTCCCAAACGGGTTTACACATACAGGTGAATATTTCTTGGCTGAAAACGAGAGCTATCAATGTCATCAATCGTCATGTCCCGGATCTACATGACCAAGTACGCCACTTGAGCCAGCTATTGCAAGGATACCTTGTAGATCCATCGACCCACAAGGGCTGGGATCTCACATATCATATAAGTGGGGTTTCATACGGTAATTCCACAATTTCTTGCTAATTCTCCGAGCCTGGCACATGCCTTGGGGCAATGGAAGCTTAGCTATCCGTTGATTGTAGCTTTTTAGGCATCTATGTTGTACACTCTTCAACTCTTATAGAAGTACACATATAACGACATTTTAGATTGATTTCTCCGATATACGCTAGTCCTTTTTTTAGGTCATATACGTCATAGATGCCCCAAGGGGTAATTTCCACTAATCCATATATGGTAAGTGGGGACCAACCTCTCAAGCTCATCGATCGTCAAGTCCAAAAATATCTTACGGGTGTGCCTTAATATTATATCGAATATTGTAGAATGCACTAGATTCGACAGCTACAATATACAACGGTCAACAATATAATTTGGACATCATAAACACGTTTCAGATCAAAAACTGAAAAGGTGGATTACGTAGCTGCCTAGCCAGGTGCCGTGATGGCATGATCGGCGGTAACTCTGGCCCAGAACCTTGGAAGCATCAACTTGATATCACATCAACAATATATGCCTGTTATTGCGATATTCAAAGCAAAAGACGGTATGCCTTGTTATCAACGTCCCTAAATGTCCTTTATCATTTCCCTCTAATACTTGGTGGAGTCTTTGTTTCAACATATGTTATCTTTTGACCTTTAAGCACGCGCTATAAATGAAGACTTGGAAGATATAGTGGTTAAACAAGCTACTCTGTATATATACATCAAGCTCTAATATTTCTGCTATCCCAATTTGTCTTCTTCCAATGTATGTTATACTTAAGAGGGTCATGTGATTTGAGGCACTAAGGCCAAGGTAATGCCTCAGGTTTCAAGCACATGACACGGCGGGCATGCCGTCACCTGCCGACCCGGGGTTAGATAATCCATATCATGAGTTCACTTCTCCTTCTCCGCCTGACTGACTTCACTTGAACTCCCCTCTGTCCCTCTATCTCGTCTCCTTGTTCGTTTTGACTTCCCCTGCGCTCGCGTTGGCTGTCATCCGTCGACTTCCTTCAACCAGCCGTGGTGCTGCTCATTGCACTCGATGAGTGGCGGCCTGCTAGCTTGCCGCCAACCGTTGGATTGGTCATAAAGAGTCCACCTCAAAGTACAGTGGTCCAGCGGAGCCGCTGGCATCATTAATCATTCACTCGATCCACCCGTTTTTGCTGTGATTAGATATCTCTCCGATCAAGCCGTTCTTCGATTTTAAGTGGTTTAAAGCATCTATCAGACATGCGACCGCCACGCTTGCTCATCGTCCTCTTCTGCCTAATCTTCTTTCCGATCCTCCTCACCTTCTTTTCCGCCCTTACATCGCCCGATGTAGCAACTCCCAATACGCTCGCTGGTCAGACAACTGGGCTACGCTCTTTATTTTCTTTCAACATACCATCGTCCCTTTTCCCTCCGTCGGCCATTATTAGTCTCACCGATGACAACTCGACTTTCTTCCTCGCCCGGCCAGCGGCATTTGGTCCGCTGCTGCCAGCCAAAGGCCTCAGTGGTCAGTTATGGGTGGGAAGTGGTTTTGGTGAAGGGGGATTAGCTGGCGTGGAAGGGGAACTAGGCTGCTCCGATATCCCCGGGTGGGGTGAGGGCACCAACCATAAGAAACAAGACAAAACCTCTAGGAGCACCGAGCAGAGTTCCAGCATTTCCGGAGGTAGTACAGTGAATGATCAATTATCAAACCGCCCACGGTCGGTGTCGCAGGCCGATACCATACCTCAAAACGATAGAGATGATCCAACCACCCCACCCTTGACGAACGATGGCACCGACGATCATCTACATCATCCACTCCCTGAATATGGTGCTTCTCACCCTGGGATAAGTCAGAAGTATGGAGATTACGTCCAAAGCAAGCCACCTGCGCATGCCGACATCCAATCGCTACAGGAAACTGCCGAAATTCAGGGTAAAGTGGTGCTGTTGAGCCGAGGTGGCTGTGGGTTCTTGGAGAAGGCCAAGTGGGCACAACGACGAGGAGGTGTTGCTTTGATTGTCGGCGACGATACTCGAGGTGGCAACTTGGTCACTATGTACGCACGAGGCGACACATCGAACGTCACGATCCCGGCATTGTTCACATCCCACACTACTGCTCATCTTTTGTCGTCATTGGTTCCTGGACATTCCAGTGGAACTGCTGGCTTGGGAGATGTGTTAAAATCTTCACAAGCGAAACTGGCAGGACAAGCTGATGCCAAAGAACGGGTGGTAAGTACTACAGCAACAACTATTCCAAGTCCGACTGCCAGCAGTCATTCGACAGCCAAAGAGAGACCTGCGCCCTCGTCTCACTCGAATGGCGGGGTTTTCCGTGCAATTGGTGCATTCCTGGGATTGTGCGATAAGAATGGAGGTTCGCGGCATTTGGAAGACAGTCGACGTCCGCCCAGCAGCGGCAACATTGACTGGATCAACCTAGGCTCATGGGAGGAGAAAGGAGCCTCGTCGAGCGCCCGAAAGAGATCAACGGATCTCAATAATCGTGGTTGGGCCAAGGACGACACATCCGACAGCCACAAGGCCGACATGTCCCCTGAAAGTTTTGAGGATGATGACTTTGTCATCGGGGTTCAGGATTGGAGAGATCCAGACTTGATGCCTCCTAGGAGTACCGTATCCCCGACTGCTGCTACCTCTGTAACCGGCAAGGATACCTCCAAGACCGCCAGTGCGGATAAGGATGCTGCTTCCTCGCCTAATGGTCTTCAGGGTGGTAGCATCACACCAGGAAGTGGAGAATACCAGAGCATCGACAAATTCAGTGCTGGTTCTCATGACACGCGTCTCAAGGGATCTGAGAAAGAATCTAGTGGAACTCATGGGAAGTCTGGATCTTCTACCAAGGGCTGGTTCTCGAGTCACTTTGGATGGGGAGATGATACTCATCAAGACCCTCAGCCTTCTTCGTCGCCCTCACTTCAGAAAAGCACTGCAACGAACCAGAAAATGCAAAATAGCCCTCACACATCGAGCCGTCTAAGCGCGGAGACTTCCGAGCACGAAGGTCTTTGGGTTACCATGACACCTACCAGCATGTCCACCAGCCCCTTTTTCGATACTCTATTAGTCCTTGTCGTCAGTCCATTGCTCACGCTGACGGTGGTTTATGCCCTTTTGCTGCTCCGGTCTCGAATCCGCCGTCGTCGCTGGCGTGCTCCGAAGTCGGTCATCGAACGACTTCCTGTTCGAACCTATCACACAATTACTACCACTTCTTCCTCGTCTTCCAACTCAACGCGTCCTCCTAGCCCCGGTCCTCTCTCCCCGACTTCCCCACTCCTTGGGAATGAAAGCCGGCCAAGCGCATCCCGATCAAATAGATCACGTTCACAAACATTTTCGGGCACTATGCTAGACTCATCTGTTGCGCCCAAGGAAGAGAAGTGCAATATGCAAAACGGATCTACCCTGTGGCGACGCAAGTACACAGGAAGGCAGGTGGAGTGCGTCGTATGCCTTGAAGAATATATCGATGGTCTGAGCCGGGTCATGAGATTGCCATGTGGCCATGAATTCCATGTGGAATGCATGTAAGTGACATAAAATTCGGTTTTTGTTTGGATATCTTACTAACCTCTTTCCTCAGTACCCCCTGGTTGACTACTCGTCGACGAACTTGTCCAATCTGTAAAGGCGATGTTGTCCGTTCACTGTCCCATTGTCAGTCCAGTGATTCTCGGGGTCATCGTGAGCAGTCCAGTGATGATATTCACTCCGACCAACCGATTTCTCGAGGCAGCGCCTCTTCCGCTCCAGTTCAAATTGAAGGCGTCAACGACAATCCTTCAGATACGGAACAAAATGCAGGTCTACTTGGTGACCATGCAAATTCTGCCCCACAGTCCAGCTGGCGAAACCTGGCTACTCTTAGCTTTTCTGCTCTGAGTGGCGATACGATATGGCACCAGGCTCGCGCGGACCGTAATCGCTAATATCTATATTCTATCCACTCTTTCCGTTTTTTTACCATTCCCCCCTCTGTCCTGTGGGATTTGCTCTCCTTGTATTGAAGCATACTGTATTAGCGATGGTTTTTATTTTCTTATGACTTGAACCTGCTTGGCGTTGGGTGAGAACAGTTCGGCGATTGCAAAGTGCCTACAAGCATTGAAGCGGCTGGGATATACCGCGGGTCAATCGTTGAAAACTTGTATGTTATTGCTTTTTGGTAGGGATACCTGAATGGATTCCATTGACACTTGTCATTGCTAGTTATCTTTTATCCTGCTAATGTAATTGATGTAACCTTGGAAATAGTCACACTAATGGACTTTGGCAAGGCGGTCTTGTACAGACTAAGACCCAAAGCCTCATTCCTTATCAACATAGACATTCCCAGCAATATCCCCAAACACATCAAGCGTATGAACCAACCGATCACGCACCAATTCAATGCGAGGAATCATATCCCGACCCAAGGGTAAGAACTCCTCACTCTCACGTCCAGCACCAACACCCTCACCAACAACAACTTCATAAATCGCCTTGGCAGCCTTATCCTTGTCACCATCGGCAACATGCTTACCGCTCTGTATAGCCTCCAACATCTTCGCAGCCACAGAACCAGCATAATCCGCCGGTAAAGGGTTAGCAGGAGAAACACATCCAGTCCCGAACTGCGTGTTGAACACTCCCAACCACACCGTCAGAAGACGGACGTTGAAAGGCGCAACTTCTTTAGCGAGTACTTTACATAAGCCTGTGTAACATCCATGGATAGTCAATAGATGTACATAAACGAGACACCTTTCACCCAATAGAAGAGAAGAAGAGAACATACCATCCATAGCAGCCTTCGCAGCCGCGTAAGCACCCATCCTTTCCCTCCCCTCCAACCCAGCCCCAGAACTAACATTAACAACAACTCCAAACCGCCTATCCCTCATCCCAGGCACAATAGCTCTAATCAACCGACTCGGTCCAAAATACACCGTCTCCATCTGTGCCCGCAGCTCCTCGTCCGAGAACTGCTCTACAGCCCCGAGAATCGCGTATCCGGCATTATTGACCAGCACATCGATCTTGTGTCCTGCAGACTCGAGCGTAGATAGCAGCTCAGACGCTGCGGTTGGGCTGTCGACGTCGAGTGCGTGCCATTCGCCCCCGTTTTGGGTTATCTCGGATACGAGATCTGGGGTGCGGGACGGTTGGCGGGATGTTGCGAGTACCGTGTGGCCGTTTGATTGGGCTGTGCGTGCTAATGACAGACCCAAGCCGGAGGAACAGCCTGTTATTAACCAGGTTAGGGGCCGGGGGGTTTGGTGAAGGTTGGGGGCTGGGTGGTCATTGTTGGGTTTGGGTGTTGGGTTATGGTGGGAATTATTTGATTCTGGGATGTTGATTTGGAAAAGATCTAGGATTTTCGGTGATATATTATTATTGATATTAGAATAGCAACTGGGTGCTGCGCTTTTATATCCCTTTGCTACTACCCCCGGACTTATGGACGGATTTAAAGGTAGTCTTAGTCTGTGCGTTCACGGATATTGTAGGATTTATGTCCTTGAGGTAAGAAAAGGACTTAAGCAAGGTAGAAGATAAGATAGTAAATATAGTCATAATTCTACACAATAAACTCTGGACTGTAACTAAAATACAAGGTCCCAGTACCACAATATAAACAAGCAAGCCAAATACATACAAAGTGAATCCCGAGAAAAAAACAACAACCTATCACCCAAACAAGCGAAAAGTCAATGATATGTTCAACAAGACCCCGGCACACATGACAAGCTACAACCAAACCGCCGGAACGGCAAAGGTCGAAGCTTCTCACCAGGACAACGAGGCATCTTCATCCCATTCTCGCACGGGGTAAAGTCCCACCACTCCATCCATTCAGTACGGGGAATCACATATTTTCGCTGGCAAACGGAGCAGGACTGTCCACCCGCAGCGCGCACTTCTCTCGCTTGTTGCAGCAAGGGCATAATCAGCGCTGGATACTCGGCTAGCTCTTCGTCGGTGGTTTGCTCCAGGTAGGGGAGCTTGCTCACCGCACGGAGGGCGACTTCGCGCAGGGACGGGGCGTTATTTACAGGAGAGGCCAGTTTTGATGGTATGAGAGTGTGTCTGTTGCGGGATGAGGTGTCTCTCATGGGATTGCCCTCCATATTCATGTAGGTGATTGGGCCGGTTGCGACGAGGATAGGGGTCCAGCCCTCGTTGGGAGAAGATTGCTGCTCTTGGAATTGGAGCGGAGGAGATGAATCCTCTTCTGATGAGTCCTCGTTCTCTGTTTCCTTTTTATTGGTCGATTTGTAGTGCCATTCTGCGATCTGCGCTTCTTCGATGGGGAGGAATGGGTTCGGGCGTACGGTCAGGTGTTTCAGTTCGCCTTGCTGCATGAGTTTGAGGACCTCCCAAGGAAGATAGGTCAATTGATTGACGGAAAGGTTTAAGACTTCCAGTGCTCTCAGTCTGCGGACTGTAGATGGGATTTCGGTCAGCTTGTTGTTTCGCAAGCTGAGGACTTTGATGTTGCTGAGCTCAAAGAGATCGTTGTGCAGGGCTGATAGGGAGTTGTTGGGGAGATATATGTGGAGGAACGGTTGTAGAGATGTGAAGACGTTCTCTGAGACCGGGGCTTCCTTGACTGATGGAAGCTTCGTTAAGTGCTGTAGGGGTCGTAGGAGACCGGATGGTATAGTTCTCAGGTGGAAGTCACTGTATAGAAAAGAGCCATTAGTATGATTGGTTTGAAAAAAAGGGATATTAGATGAAACTAGAACATCAGGTGAAACTAGAACATACCCCAGATCAATGCTCTCATGTCCCTTATCAAGACAATCGCTGACAACCTCCCGCGCGTATCGATGAGCATCGGATTCTTCAGGACTTCTAAACGCAACGCGAGTCTGCGCGGGCACGTTCTCCGCCTCATTAACGAAGACCGTAGATCCAGACTTTCTAGGATCAAGTACAGACTTGCGCAAGTCTTCTCCCCACGCCGAGCCATCCTCCGACGCTAAAAGCGATTCAGCGCCAGACTCATCACTCCCCATCCACACACCACTATCAACATTCCTCTTATCCTTAAAGTCCGCCCTTTTTCGCTTCGGATCAATCACCTGTTCCCCCCACCAGGTCCCCCGATACCGCCGTTTGCGACCCGCGCCCGACACCGTCGCATGGTAGTTCTCCAGTCCGGAAGCCGGGATATCGTCACTGGAGAAGAGCGCAGGGTCGCTAGATGGTTGACTGGAGCGGTCATCGAAGCGCGACAGTCGCTGAGCGCGCTGGAGCGAGGAGAACGGCGCGCCTGTCGCTGAGGGGTTCGCGGGCGAGCGGTGCCGGATTCGTCGCGGCGGTGGGAGGGGATCTCGCTGTCCATTGCGATTTTTGTTTCGCGATGTTCAGACGAGTCTCTGGGTTCCGGCCTGGATCATTGGGGTTTTATTCGAACACGGTTTTATCTGATGTTCGGAGTTGCGCGACGCGTTGTGGAGACCCGCGATGGATAGGTCAACAACGCGCTAATGGCGCGATTGGGGGAGATAAGGGTTTTAGGATTTGGAATCAATTGAGAGAGACCTCTTGGAAGAGAAATCCTTCTGTTGGAATGGAAAACAGATCAGATCAAAAGATAAGATCAGATCACACGTGCACGGGCATCAGTTGACCCCGGAGCAAACGGCTTTCTTCCGGGGCCGCTCCACTGGAATGTTAGATCGACATGATCTGCTCCATCTTTCTATGCACATACTGCTTACTGCTACTGGTGATTACAGTTGGAATTGGTATCAAATGAGAGAAGAAAATAAAGTGTCTATATTCTGTGGATGACTCAAAAGTTGACTCAATGCAAGTCCTGGATCTCAGCCAGACTAGTCGACTAGTTAGTCACCCACGATAACGTATATGGACAAACGAATTGAATATAACAGGGGTTTGAAGAAGAGAATAATAACAGCATCAACTCATATCGGTCCAAAAAGTCATAATGAAATAAAAAAAGAAATGGGGGTATTTGAAAAAGCGTAAAGCCGTTTCCTCTCCAAGAATGGGTTCTTCAGCTAACCGAGAGGAATAGAAGTGTGAAGTATAAGAAGGGGAAAAAGAAAGAAAAGAAGCTCCCGGCTCTGCTGTAGATGAACGGCAATCAACGAGGCAGCCATAACGCAGTATGAATTGAGCGCGAGGGTTGAAAATGGCCCCAATTCATGATGGTTGCCTGCGTGAAGGCTTTCTTGCCAGTCGCGAAATCGCGAAGGTGATTACAGGGCCTGACCCATCATCACAACGATGTAGCCAGCGGCGGCCAAGGCAGCTGGCATGCCAGCGCCAATGTTGGATGCTGCGCCGGTCGAGGTGGCGGCCAAGGCAGCAGAAGTAGTGGAGGACGCGCGAGACAGAGGAGTCGAGGTCGAAGCAGACACAGTGCTCATGCTGCTTGCATTGGAGCTCGCGGTGGAACTTGCGCTGGAGCTAGGAGTTGGAGTCACCGAATTGACGCGAACCAGGGTCTTGGTGACGGTCGTGGTTGCAGTTGAGGTGACGGTCTCCTCTGCGGCGACGAATGGAGCCGCGACCAGGCAGAGGGAGGCGATGATGGCAGTGAACTTCATTTTGAGAATTTGAAAGTAAATATCAATATAGAAGAGATGTCAAGATGACTGAATTTCAAGGTTTGCGATGAAACGTTGAAGTATGAGTACTTAGGGCAGAATAGATATGTTTCAGATTTTGAGCGCAAAAGAGTGAGCGTCAAAATCTTGTAAAGATCGTGTAGAGCACTGCTCGAAGAGTATAAAAGTGAAACGAATGTATATGCGAGAAAATCTCTAATGCGCCTAAGGAAAAGGGAAAAGGAAATTTTACCAGGGTGTGGCCAGGCTTATTAAGTCCCAAGCACGAGGCAGTCTTTAACCTGGGGAAACAGGGCGATTCGTCCATCAAAGAAAAGTTGCGCTGTTTTTTTTTTTTTTTTTTTGTTTTCTTATATTATTTATTGATTTTCAAGTGAAATATCACCTTCCAATTGGCCCCTTGCACGCGCGGACCCTGGAACTTATTGGATTGGGCTCCATCTAATGACCAGAGCCCTAAAGACAAAGGGTCTTCCGCACAGACTTTTGACGCCAGGGGTAAGAGTTTGTTATGTTCTTCGTATGTTGTACTCTATCAAATGCCATGTTTATTGCCATTAATCTCCCTTTAAGAAAGGCTTGAGAGTTCTTCATTTGGCCCCATCCGAGTCCCCGTGCTAATACGAGAATTCGCCGTATACTCCATAAGTGTAATTTCAGCACTTCCTAATCCCAGTCTAGCCAATTCCCTCATTACGAAACGGTTTGATCTTTCCTAAGCGCCTTTGTTTACTCCGTTGTTTGAAATGGCTAATTTCACCTACTTTGTTCTGTTTTTGTCTTATTACCCCTAGAATGACGATTCTCACCGGGCATCACACACTACTGCAGGTGTTCACTCCCTCACGGGGACTTTCCGTCAGTTCCGTACCCCTGGCGTCATGTGTAGGAACAATCTGTGATTCGGCTAATCTTAAACATAACAATAACATTACATGTAGTATCTGGCTTTGATCTAGATCTTACATCTATACGAAGTACTACCGTGCAAAGTGATTCCGGTTCCCCCGTTAGCCGAGATTGAGATTTACCCCAATTGCCCGGTTCCCACACTATTGAGAAAATACTTTTTTTTTCTCTATATGTTGTACTCTATAAGGTTCTGTCGATCGCTTCCGTAGTTCCTTTCAGGTACAAAAGACGAACTGATCAGCGCTCGGGCCTACTATGTTGGGCAGCTCTACTTAGTGTAAGAGGGTCTGCCTAGGTGGGAACGTTGAGTCATTCCATGTTGTTCACTCCAAGGTTATGTGTAATTTGTAACTATTCTAACAATATTATATAATTTGATGAGAACATTATTCTATTATGCGTTGGCATGAGAACATGTTGAAAGAGGGGTCTTTTTCAGGGGCTCTGTACTCTTTGGGCTCGCAAAGCCCTATGTCCTCCATATCCACTTTGACGAACCTCAATACTCCGTTGTGTTGATCAATTGAAATTTTAAGATCATTATTCACCCCATAGTCTGGACTCCGTACTCATAAGAGGTCATTTGATCAGAAAAAAAAAGGGGGCAATGAAAACCAAGTAGAAAATGGTGGCTCACTCTCTTTCCTTTTTGGCTTAGTGTGCTCAATCTAATCTTACTTTTCATTCAATGAGATTGCATGTCTGGAGTAGCCCAGAACAAGAACGATTACACGGCGGTTGGCCAAGGTCTATAGTGGTGAATGCCTGAGAATTAGGGCAACGCGCTCCAAAGGTCTTGTCTTGGAATAATCGACTTGAGTATACTAGATTATATAGTTGTATTCACTCTCAGTTGCTATGATGCTTTCATAGCTACTCCTAGCTACTTGAATACTTGTACAAATTATGACATGGGCTCATCCACTCACAAGTTACGCCCTGTTACAACGCCCGCAATATATAAACCCCAGAGCAAGATTGAGTCGACTCAACAAGATGAAGTGTATGGATATAAGTGTGTATTTGCCAAGTCCAATCACGACTTGCATAAGGCTCTCTATATGTACCTTCTTGGTTCATCTACGAGAACTTGGCAAGACTGAAGAGGCAAATGCTCTCCTTGCATTGGACTTTGGTTAAATTTAGAGGCACCCAACTCTTACACATTACTTCAGTCATAAAGTTCAAATAAGAAGAAGGATATTCCTTCAATATTTGTTATAAATCTGAGCCTCGGAAATAGCAGTGTTTGAGGCCAATACTGCATGGGCTGGTTGGGAGATATATATTTGTAACTATCACCAGTTCATTTAGTCCTTGGAATGCCATGCTCATAGTTGCAAGGCCGACACACATTACAATTATGTCTGAATATAGCTGTCGGTTTCTAGGTATATTAGACTTATTGTTGGGTGGTTTCATCTCTCATTGTTTGCTTACAGAGAGCAGATTGTTTGTCAGACATCAAGGTATAAATACCCTGCTTTTTGCTAGATTAAACAACAATGATTCTTCTTTCCCTTCCTCCCCTTCGCCAGTAGCCAGTAGCCATAAGACTCATATATCACAGTCGGTTACATGGCGACCTTCAACCGAACTAAAGTTCACCATAGGTACGGAGGATGATGACGCTAGGATGAAGCACATGGTTCTGAGGGAGAGTTCGTGCTCCTAAGACATTGGGTATTAATGGTCCTGTTTGGTCTCTAATGGGATATGTGATTTCCATACACTGTAAATCTTCAGGTAAAGATTGCATATAATATTAAAAGCTCAAGCATATCAAAACTGTCAATTTCATTAGTTGCGCATTTGTTTTAAATTATCTCCCCAGCCATATCATTTCCACTCATTCCAGTTTCTCGCCTACAGCGCAGGCTTTCCACCTTTGATCCCCCCAAACTGATTCTGCCAGAGGTTCTGATATCTTCCACCCTCCTTCTTCAGCAGCTCATGGTGTGACCCGCTCTCCACAATCTGCCCCTCATGCACAACAAGGATGCGATCGGCGCTGCAGATTGTTGAAAGTCGATGCGCAATGACAAACGTAGTTCGCTTGGCTCTCAATCGGTCCAACGCAACCTGGATATCCGATTCCGTGTTCGAGTCTACAGCGCTCGTTGCTTCATCCAGCAGGAGAATCGGCGACTTCTTTAGGAAAACCCGAGCAATGGCTATGCGCTGTAGCTCACCACCAGACAGCTTGACGCCCTGCTCTCCGACTGTGGTGTTGTATCCGTCAACGAAAGTGAGGACTTTTTCGTGAATAGCTGCGGCCCGGCATGCTTCGTGGACCTCTTCGTCCGAGGCCGAGGGCCGTGCATACCGCAAATTTTCGATGATAGACGCGTTAAATAAGACAGGGTCTTGTGGGACGACGCCGATAGTCTGCCGTAGCGAGCTGAGGGTTATGTCGCGGATGTCTTGGCCGTCGATCTTGATTTGGCCCGAACTAACGTCGTAAAGTCGGAGAAGAAGTCTAAGAATTGTTGTCTTCCCAGAACCGGTCATACCGACTAGTGCAACTGTTGTCCCAGGCTCGATAGAAATATCCACGTCCTTGAGGGTCTTCAACCGCGAATCATAGGCAAAGTCAACATGATGGAATGACACGCGGCCATCGCCAGATTTCAGTGGCATAGCATTCTCCTTGTCATTGACGCTAGGCTTGGATTGGAACAGGAAGAGTAGACGCTCGGCATCGACTAGATCAGAGACAAGCCAGCGATATTGCGCAGAGAGATAGGCCAAAGGAGAGATGAGTGAAGACCAATACTGAATGAAGAAAACAAAGTCTCCTGTAGAGGAACGCCCCACGGAGATCTCGTGTACAATGAGTGAGGAGAGACCAACGAAACAAATTGGCTTGAGTAAATCTAGGAGTGACT